TATGACATTTTTAACAAAAAAATTAAAAAGGGTACAGTTAAAGTCTGGTAACGACTGTGATGTTGACATGTTGGCAGCTAGGTCAGCGTCGGGGAGAGAGCAGTGGGGGTGTCTGCAGGTTGAAGGTGACTAAAACTGGTTTTAGTGCAGTCGCTACACCGCTTCACAGTCAGACCGTAGTAGGTTTTTAAACTAACCTTGTACTGAATCCAAATGGAGTTAGCTTGCTGCGTGGTTCCAAGATCAGACTGCTGATTTGGAGAGGGTCGTTATTGTTCTCTTACTACAATTACCAGCATCGCTATGAGAAATGTCATGCATGTTCTTTAATTTCTGAAGATGTTGCATGCTGAGAGCACAACTGTCCTCAAAGCCTCTCTTGTTTTGCCTTTTGGGTTGCTTTTTATATAGAGGAAATGTAGTCATACCTAGCTAGCTACATTTACAATAAAAATTTGCCGTCTGCTGGATTGCCATCTGGTTCCCGCCCACTTGGAATGTTTCTTTGTATTAAGTCTCTTCCTTGGTGGACCTTTTCCTCTCTGTTTCTGTTTGTTGGCCCAAGTAATGCTTGCGACTGGGACAGTATAGTGTTTTATCACAAATTCTGAGGTTTTGGTTTCTTGTGCCTGTGAGACAAACAGGCAAGACTGCCAGTGTCTTGCTTGGATGAGCAGAGCTTGGATGAGCTGAGGGAAGCTGCTGATTTCTACATGTGCGAAACATGGCAGAGGAGACATTGCTGAAGGCAATAATGGTTTCAATTTGCCTTCCTAATTTCCCAGAGTAAAAATTGTATTAATTTTATGATACTTTGAATCGCACTCACTCAAAATAATTGAAAACTAAGTAACAGACATGAAACTTGGTTGTTATTTTGGAGTAATCTGTTAGTCCTACATAATCACTTCTTAGTACTTCATCTGGTGACAAGTTTGGCTGTTCAAGAACTTCATCAAAAAAACAAGCCAGCAGTATTGGACAGCAGGGAAAAGTAGAAACAGTTTGGAAATAGCACGTGGATTGATAGGGGAACAAAGAGAAAAAGTGACAGTATTGAAGCCAAAGGCGTGGTTTCGCATTTAGACGTGGAAAGTACTTGTAGGATGTGCAGCTCTAACCTGAAGCTACAACTTCTTATAGAGTGGCGATGACATCATCACTGAATTGGATTCTCAGTGGTTTTTTGAAAGTACTGGAAAAATAAGAGTCAAAGGAAAAGCTTTGATACCAAGAGCAAAATGACACGCATTACAAGTGGTTTGCCATCGGTCTGGTTATGGACCCATTTTGGAGTTGCAGGGTGTGTTCTGGTAGGGGGATGCAGAGTGCTGGCTTCCAACCTTGGAGATCCACTGCCATCTCAGTACCTTAGATACAATACAGATCTTTATTTTGGAAAAGAAGGGGTACAAAGTAAGGAGGAAACATAATCTGAAAGGGGCCAGCTAGTTCTTGCAGCCTGTTGTCTCCATGTGTAACTGCCTTCTTCCTTCCTTCTTCCCAGATCCAGCCGTGCACAGCCAGCAGGTCCCCGTGGGCTCCCCCAGCCACGGTGCAAGGGTCTGCAGGCTGCTGCTCAGCTCCTCCATCTGTCCGTGCTTGCTGCTTTATTCGTTGCAGGTTTCTTCCCTGAGTTTATGCTTGCTCTGGTGTGCCCGCTGCTACTGTGCACTCTCAAAACGAGGAAGTTGATGGCTACAGCGCAAGTACTAAACTATCTGATACGGGGAAGGTGCTGGGGGTGTCAGAGGGGGCAGGTGGGGACAGTCCTGCCACACCGAGGTGGGCTGGAATGAGCTGCAGCCACCAAGCAAGTCAAGTCTGATCTGCGGTGCGGACTGATGGTGTTTTCTGTGTTTTCACAGGGGAGGCTCATTTCCATCTCTTCCGCAAGTGCAGTATGCTGGCACGGAGCAGCCTTTCCCTTGGACGCTGGCAACTCGTGCCCCTGAGGCTGTGAAGCATGGGTGTGGAGAGCGGTAACAGGAGTAGCTGGTCATTGGTCCTGGATGCTCTGGAAGCCTGTAGCTGTGAGGTGGGTGAGCTTCAGCATTGAATGTTTTATTCTGGATAAAAGAGGGTCCTGGGGCTGAGAGGGATTTTGGGAAAAAAGTCTCATTTGTCTGCAGGCTGCAAGATCTGCAGAGTTGGGGGCAGTAGGTGGGACAAAATGCTCCCCGCTTCTGCTAGTCCTGGAGATGTCAACAAGTAAAATGTTTTTCTCTGACCTTGTTTGCTGTCTGCACTTCAGAAGGACTGAGCATTGCTAGATCATCACCTGGTGTTTGCTGCCCCATGACAGAAATACTTGTAGGGTGATTTCTAGCCTCCCTAGGTAGCCTGTTTTAATATTTTTCTGCCATGATGAAAAGACTCTAACGTGAATCCTTCATATTGCAAAGTAAATCAATTTATTCTTGCAAAGTAGAGAATACTTAATTACACTCGTGTTTTGCATTTCAAAAGTCAGTGATCCTATCCCTTGGTCTTCCTCCTCAATTAGTTCTTCTTTCCTCCAGCTTTTGTAATGCCTTTTTCATGTCACCCTCTGAGTTTGTGTTTTGCGTATGAGCTCCACCCAGTGCACTGGCTCTTCTGTAGGGTTATATATCTCTGGCTGCCCTTCCTGTGCGGTATTTAGGATTGCTACCCCTAGAAGAAAAAGGGATGGTTGCTAAAAAGGGCATGGTTGCAAAAAAGGTTGATACTGTGCTAAAGATCAGGGCCTGAGAAAGACGTCCCAGCTCTGAGGCTTTCTTGTGCGGGAGACAAGCAATTCAATCATTTACAGAACCCCCTGATCCTTCCTTCCAGCCAGATTTGCTGGTGCTGCTACAAGTGCGTTCCTACATCCTTCTGTTCACATCTTGTGTGCTGAAGAACACAGAAGAACTGGAAGTCACTGAAAGTAATACAATGAAGGTACCTCATCAAATGCTGTCTTCTCTATATCAGTGTTTGCCAAAGAAAAGAAAAAGCCTGCCTTACTACATAAGAGCCAGAGCTGGCTAGCAGCTGGACGGGGGCATGCAGTATATGAATATAAAGAACTGTAGCTCCTTGGTGGCTGTGGATTCAAGAGTAATGGTTTCAGGCTGAAAACTACTCGGGCGCCAGGTAACAAAGATCAGTGAATGGTTATTTTACTGAACAGGAAACCCTCTGTTTTCTCTTTCATGGGATCTTAAAGTTCTTCCCCAACTCCTGTGTCCTCTGTGGCTTGGTATCACATCTTATTACTCAACTTCAAACACCATCTGGAGGAGAGGCCGCTTAGGAAATACACTAGCGTGTGGCATCATCTTATTCTTTTCTTTGTTCAGTTGCCAAAAGGAAGCAGCGACTCTGCAGGGTGGAATTTGCCACAGGAGGAGCGCCTAGCACACAAAAGCCTTTTCAGGCCTTGCACTTTCAGTCCTGCAAGAGCAGCTCTAGCAGAAGAGATGTGAGCTGGAAGGAGTGCAGCATGGGCTACGTTCTTTCTGCCGAGGCCAGTTAGCAATGCAGGTCCCTCCAGCAGAAGTCCCTTCCTGTTTTTACAGATGGCTGTCCGTACTTGTCTGTCCTTTAATAGGTTTTGGACACTTGGGCGTATTCTTGGTCTGAGGTGATTGTTCTTGCACCATAGCCATCAGGGTGGGTTCAGCCCTTGCCTGAGTCTTGCGAAGCCCTAATTCATCCCTGTCTGAGTTTAAAGACTCCTTGGCTCTATGCCACAAGAGGTTTTTTCTCCACTGCATGCAAAAAGCAGCTACTTCTTCTTCTTCAGAGTCAGGCGGGGGCTGTTGCAAACCCTATTAGACAAAATATTTGCATGCTTTAATATACTGTTGTACATTAACTCGTTTAAAATATCTTAAAAGATATAAAAGTCTGAATGCGTCAACGTGTGTGTGACCAGTGTGGCATCTCTACCTGTTAATGCTTAAAATGCTTAGAAGTGCTTAAAAACTTGCTTACAGAGAGATAAAAGGAATGCAGTATAGTTTATTGATAAGCGGGGAAATTTCCAAAGGCAAAAAGCTGGGTCATAGAGGACGTCATAGTCTAGACAATCAAGATAAAAGAATGGCTAGTTACTTCAGGCTGACATCAGCAAAGTGAAAAATGGACATACATACAAGTTTTTAACAGTATACGCAATTAACCACAGGAGGAGCTTTTTCACCCTTGTGGCTGATTGTTCATCAAATAGGATTCTAATAAAAACCGTGTCTCTTTCAAAAAGACATTCTGAAGCTCAGCAGAAGTTGTAGGATTACACAGGACGCTAGGGCACATGATGAAAAACTGCATCAGTGGAGAGTCTGCCTGTATTTGCACTTGTTTTCTGAGTGCTTTCAGATAAAGTCTGCTCTCACAAACTATTTACAGTTGGATCAATCAGCCGTCATTGGCAGCTGCAAGGGAGGCTCTTGGGAGTTTTGATCAAAGCTCATCCTGAGACAACATAAAGGCTACGACTGGCATCGACTATTTCCAAATAAAGGCTCCAGTGAGATGCTGCTGCTCTCCCCTATCCAAAAACGAAATGGGAAACGGACCAGCTAAAGATGACTTCAGAGTTGGTAGCAGTGACAGAGCAGATTCAGTGCCTGGAAAGATGCATATTGGGCTTTGGAAACAAAGACAGAAAGGCATAAAATAAAAACATCACACTAAGAATGTTTACCCCCAGCTGGAGTCAAGAGGTCCCACAGCACCCGGCTCCCACCTCCCATAACCCAGCTTGGCTGCAGGAGCTCCCCACAGCGTGGACTTACCTTGCAAAACCTATTTGATGCCACCAGCGTTAACTTACTTTGATACATGCTGCCTCAGCTGCCTTCAGAACATGCAAAACTGCTTGAATTAGGTTCTGCGTGTTGCTCACCAGCAGCTCAGAAGAGGACTTGCTCTCTGCAGTGACTGCTTTTACCCTTAAAAGACATTTTAAAGGATTTTATTAGAAGAACATCAGACAGTGTGCTTCCCCTGTGTGGCCAGAACTCTGTCGGTTACTCCAACACCGGAAGATTGTCCCCTGCGCGATCAGAGCAGGTTTCCACAGAGGCAGGCAAACTGGGGGAGGAAAGGGCTGTTTACAGCAACAGGAAGAGGAGAGGGAGCCACCTGAACTGTAACTGAACTCTGAGGGCTACACCCAGATCCAGTAAGGGCATCTGGAGACCACCGTGCACACCTCTTTGAGAAGGGGGCCACCAGCCTTGGGAGAGATTGTCCTTGACCCTGGCAACTCACCTGGCCACCATGCTGAGCTGGCTGCTGATGGTGTGGGTCTGCTCTGCAGCACACAGCAGCTCTGCGGAGCATCTCTGGTCCAGGCAGTGCTTCGCAACAATGCGGCCAAATTTAACGAACACCTGCCCATCAGAAGCAATTTGCCTTGCACAGGTGACAAGCTGGTCCTTGCTCTAAAACAAAATAGAAAGAAATGTCTGGGGAGAGGAGGAGAGAAGAGACCGCTTTTCCTGCAAGACAGGGGGAGTATCCAGGAAGCCCAGATATATTCTGAAACAAGGAAAGGACTGGATGCCAAGTTCATATCTAATCAGGAGGAAGTAATTTCTAGTGCTTTACGTAAATGTAGCTGATGCCACTCTCACAAGCGCAGGGTAATGCAGGGGTTTTGAGGAAAAAATGTGCTGGGGTGGAGGAGGTGAAGCACTCCATACCACGATGGGGCCCTTCTTCCTCAGGAACTGAGTCATATGAAGCATCCTTGTTGCCATGTCTTCAGTGACCTGGGACATCTTACTGGGGCCACCCTGCCATGGGTCACTGTCTTCTCTCTCATGCTTCGCAGGGCCGCTGGCAAAGGAGACGCTGGGAGGACCGTTCTGGTGCTGTTGAGACAAGAACTGAACAGATTCGAAGTCTGGAGTGTGCAGATGCACCAATGCTGAGAAGTCTCCGCCTGTGTGTTTCTGAAGCAGTTTTTGGTGAGTAAAGGAGATGGGAGAGCTGCCCGCCACCTCTCTGGGTCTGCTCTGCCTTCCCAACCAGCCCTTCTCTCCCTTTCACCCACAGTGGGACTATAAAATCCCAGTGCCCCGTGCTGCTGTCTCCTGGAGCTATCTCCAAACGGGTGGTAGCTGTCATGTGAGCTGACAGTGCCCGTGGTTGAGAAGTATGATTAAGTGCTCTAAACTGCTCTGCTGAGTGATCTGGATCGTGTTGCTGAAGCCTTTGCCAGCTCCTGACAACCAGCAGCAGTTGTTGTGGGAGTGGATTTGCTGGTAGTCCCAAAGGGTGCTTGTGGAGAGGAGAGGAGCTGAGCAGAGGCAGGTAGTGTTTCAGGGGAGGGAGAGCGATACAGCCCTCTGCTCCTCAGAAACAGTGTTTTGAAGACGGGTTTATTTATGCAAGAGTGCCCATCAGATCAGATATCCAGAACTCAGCTGAATAGGGCAGCCAGTAACCTGATCTAACTGTGAAGGTGGCCAGGGGGTTGGATTATTGACCTCCAGACGTCCCTGCCAACATCACTTATCTTAGTGCTCCATGGTGTGAGTACCAGGACTGACTGACAGCCCTGACCATCACCCTGCAGTAAGAGTTGACAGGGTAAAAAGCTACTGTACCATTTCACGTGCCTCCCTGACAGCTCCACTTCCTCGTCTGCTCCTGCTCGGGCAAGTTTCTGCTGACTCAGTGTGGCTCAGAGCATCAAGCTCTTGGGCTGCGAAGAGCTTGGCTGTGCTGTTGTGTTGTCTTGGAGAGCACTGGTCTCCCACATTCTGCAGGCATTGTCTGATGAGCTGCAGAGTATGTCCACTGATGCCCTGGACGGCCTGCAGCTGTGTGACGAGGTAGTGTGCCTTTGCTGACCAGTACCAGACAATACTGTCTAGGCGGAGATGCCTTTTGTCCCGGTGGCTGTGGAAGAGCTGGCTGGCGCTGCCCACTGCGTCAGATGTGAGGATCAGGAGGTGGTCTGCAACGGAGAGCAGGTTTGCCTGTGACTGCAGTTGCGTGTTGGCCTCCAGAACGTCTTGGAGGGTGGTTTTCACCCACTGAACATTAGCCATTAGACGACTTGCCTTCTTTTCAAAGGCCTGTTTGCTTCTCTCCCTCTCCTCTTGAGAGAGGGGGGACAGGGCTGGTCCAACGACATCTCGGATGACTCGCAGGTGTTCGGTATTGACCTTCTCCAGGTGGAGCAACAATGCCTTGGCCCTAAGGGCCAAGTCTCTCTGCAGGAGCTCAAAGCGAATGTACAAGCTGGCAGTAGACAGTGGGGAGACCAAGAGGGTATTGGAGGCATCCAGCAGTGCTTCCATTAGCACCTTTATCTCCTCCCTGAGCGCTAGGATTTCACTGCCACCATGGTCTTCAGGGCAGGACAAGTAAGAGAGCCGGGCGGCCTCCTGCAGCCTCAGGGAGTTCTCGGACACAGCAGCCAAGAGACTCGGTGAGCAAAGCTTGTTCTTCACGGCACTCCTCAGCTCCTGCAGGAACAGGACATCCCTGCCTATGAACCGATCCACAACGCCCAGCAGGACGTGCATGCTGATGGCCCACTGGACACAGTGCAGCTCCAGGCTGGCCTTTCCCACCCTGCAGGAGCCATTGAAGGACGCTGCTTTCTCAAGTAACACTTTGGTGTTCATCTGAGCACGTGAAAACTTGGCTTGGACCTGTTGAAAGCTCTCACAGACATTGGGGAAAATGGGATTTTCCTTACTGCAGGCTACGCTTGCAATGTCTCCTGCTAACTGAACTGCTCCTGCTAAACCCATCATAGTCTCATCCAAAGCCTGTTTGCCTCTCAGAAAGTCAGCAGACAAGATAAAGCCAAATACTTGCTGAGACAGACTATACCAAGAGCCTGCCACGGCTGCCAGACACTCTTTGGTCTCATAGATCCTTTTGGAGAGCGTGAGTGCCATTTGGAGAAGTCTGTTTGGACGATGAAGCTGCCTTTGGGCTGTTTCCCTGGCCAGGCTAATAACACATGGTGTCAGTAATACAATCTTCTGGTACTGCCCCAGCGTCTCCATCTGGGGAGACTCAGCAACGGGCAGTGCTTCCTTTGCCGCATCGATACAGCTGTTGGAGAGTTCAAGCAAGGCAGAGCAAGCAGTGTTGACAGCTGCTATATCATGGGCTCTTGTTGCTGCTAGGAGAGCCGTAATGACAGGGTGCATATCTCCTTTCCTTGGAACAACATCCAGGTGTAAGTTACCTGGTCGTGAAGATGGACAATGTAAGATGTCTTCTTGCAATGCAGCCTCATCTGTAATGGTTTTTAGCCCAGCACGCAATGGGCTGAATTCAAGCCCCTTTGCAACATCAGTTCTTTGCACTTGTGCTCGGAGAGGGCTGAGGATATCTGGGTGGTTGGACCCATCCAGCCCGTCCTGGATGTGGTGAGCAGTATCCATCAGGCAGCTTGCTGCCTTTGAAAAGACATCCCTAGTTTGGAGGCAGGAGAGTCTCTCTGGGCAAAGGGCTGTGACTGCTTTCAGCTCAAGGATGGAGTTGGCCAGTTGCTCAACCCAAACCAGCAAGCCATTCCTGAAAATGGGGTCTGTGGCTCTGTCCCTGTACCTGGTGGTAGCTTCAGCCACCCACCGAGCCCAACTGGTGAGGTGAGTTGCGTGCCAAGAGAGCCTCTCAGAGTCCTGACTTTCCAGGGCCTTTTCACACCATTCCCTGTGCTTGGCCATTTCCTGGATGGACAGCTTAAGGAATTCATGCATGCTGACCGTCTCCTCAAAACACCGCAAGAGGCTTTCTATTGTTCCAGCCCACACATGGTACAAGGACTGCAGTTGCTCAGCAGCGCTTGTCTGGGCTGTATTTCTGCTCATTTCTGTGAGCAGTGGAGGGAGACTGGCAAGGAGTGTCTTCAGATACTCTACCCACTCTCTGATTTCTCTAGCAGTTTGGGTTTTGGTGCACCTGGCCAGAACAAAGTCTGCCACTCTGAGCATCTGCTGGGCATGTGTGAAGAAGGTGGCAGTGAGGGGCTGAAGCTTCTTTAAAAGTCCTCCTTGTCCTGCTGGAAAACACCCTGTACCAGCAAGGCTGAGGGCATCTTCAACTAACTGCCTCAGGGGCTCCTTTCCCTCTAAGAAGGTGTCGAGGATTTGGCACAGAGTAGCTGTGAGCACTGCCTGGTTGAGAGTCTCCACCTCCTTTCTCATGGTGTGACATTCCTCCTCCAGGCTGCTTTCTCCCCAGCTTTGCCCTGGCCATCCCTCCTGCTGGCTTGCGTGGCTGCAGATGCTCTTCCTCAGCTGTAGCAGAACCCAGCAATGTTTTACCAGGTCCAGCTTTAGATCTGGCCTGGACGAGTCTGCTAGAAGCATGCAGTAGAAAATAACCGCTTCCACATGAGCACTGAACTCACTGTCAGAGAGATGCACTGGGTCTGGGTGAGAGAGGAGAGCCAGCAGCCTGCTCACGTGCTGGGAGAAGGTCCCGTTTCTCTCCCATGGCTGCTCGCTGCCTGTATTGTTGATAAGCAGGGAAGTGAGCTCTTTGATGGTCCTCTCTGTCAGCTGGAAAGCGTAGCCTTTGGAGAGGTTGACTTGCTGATCCCAGGAGTGTTTAAGATCGCTGTGCTTGGCTGCATGGAGCAAAGGAACGCACTTTTGAAGGAGCTGCAAAGTTTGGGCCAATCTCCTCTGTCGAGGACAATCTCTGAGTTCCTCGAGGCACTTTGCTGTCAGATTGCTCAGCAGAAGCAGGGCCTCAGAAAAGGCCCGGAAAGCAGCCAGCAGTCCTGGCATGTCCCCTGCATCCCGCAGCACGCTCAAGCACTCCAAAAGCCAGCTGGCAGCCTGAATTATCCTCCTCGCCCCAGCAGCGTCTTCCATCTGAAGGATCTAATCAGAAATAAATGGCAGAAAAACTGGTCAGAGTGGCTAAGGCTCAAGAATCCCTGTTCACTATTTCTTCTCTTGTGCAGCCAAGATAACACCACAGCCCTTGTAGGGAATGGAAGAGGTGCGTTTTGCTCAGCAGACCTGCCCTAGTGAGCACACGGTGAAGAAACAACCATTGCTCCAGCTAGAGCTTCCCCTGAGCCCCAGCCCCTGTCCTGGTGGAGGGCAGCTCTTGTTCCCCCTACAGCTGCACCCTTACCCACTGCTGCATCCCAGCCTGACCTCCTCCCCTGCTCGCTCTGGCACTGTCCCCATCCGCTGTTACCTTCACTGTCTCTGTTAAGACCCTCTTTGCCGACACAGCCAGCTCCTCCCTGTGGCTAGGGTTCTCCGGCTGCACCTGGAGCTTGTGGGCCGCCAGCAGCACGCACCTCCCTGCCAGGACGAGGGACTCGGTTGCAGGACACGTCTCCTCCTTGAACACCTCGTCGCTGGACTCCTCAGCCAACCTGGAACAGAAGCCGCTGGGCTCAGCTCTTTGCCATCCCGTGAGTACCGGCCTCGGGCTTTGTCACAACAATTAGCCACGCCAGACCTTAACTGGGCTTGAATTGATTTTAGCTGTATTTGCAAACCGTTTCAGAACCTTTTGCAGTGGCCGCAATTCACTTTAAGATAGGATGTCTGCAATCTACCAGGTCCTAGCTGTAACAGCAAAATAACCCAGTGGCCAGTGCCTAATTGTGGATTTGGGCTCCAATTTCACTGAAGCATTCAGTAAATTCACTGAAGCATTTGGTCAATTGTCTATTACCTTAAGATGTGTTTAGCTTAAATGTTGCTTGTTGAGCTTGCTTTGCCACCTCGCTTCCAAGCACGTATCCCTGCTTTGTCCCATCTGTCCTTTTCCCTTCCTAATCCTATTCCCCCCCTCATGTTCCCCATCCCCTTCCTCCTCATGCTTCCACCTCTCCAGGGCGGTGCGGGCAGGGAGCACCAGGCAGGGAGCACCAGGCAGGAGAGGCAGGCTCCCTGCCAGTTTCTTTGCCATCCCTTCTGTGCCTCCTCCTTCCCAGCCCCCAAATCTGCCATGGAGACACCCAGCAAACTTACCTTCTTGCAACAGAAGCGAGTTCTTCTGTGGCTTTGGCTAATTTTTCTGCATTCTCCCCTAAATTGGGAAAGTCCTGACAAATCCCATCTTCCCATTCCAGGGCGAGGATTAGATGGCAGAGTTGCGCAGCCATAGGGCAGAGGATCCTTTGAATAGCTTTGTTTTCTGTTAGGAACCCAAGATCATAGAGATAAAAAGGCTCCATTTTGTGCTGCCTGGAAAAGGGAAACAAAACCTGGGATTATCTGGGATCCTTCGCAATGTGTAGCAGTTATCAGTTTTACCAGCGACCTTGGATTCGGATGGCGGCTTCTGGCTTTGAAAATGCTACTGGGTCTAGTTTCTCCCGGCAACAAGGTCAGCAACCCGCATTTCCCCCAGCAGTGGGCTTTTCCCCCAGCTTTCTTGCTGTGGACCCCCATCTCTGCCGTCCCACCTGCGAAGCATCCTCTGGCTTTGCTCAGCTCCAAGGCACAGCCGCGTCTCGGGGATGCCCCAGACCCGTCCCGCACTCCTGCCTTTACGTGGTTATGCGAGCCCACGGACGCCAGAGCTGGTATTTCCTTACCTGGGCGCAGACAGCCCAGTGGACGAGCGCTGGGGACGGGGTCGCGGGCTGTTCGCAGGGGTGAGACCCCGTGGCGGTGACGGTGAGGGTGACGTTACCTCCTAGCACCCACCCGGCTGTCGGCGGGGGGACACAGGGGTGCCCCTGCCACCACGGGCCTGCGTGCGCGCAGACAGCTCCTGGGCAGGGATACGAACCCGCGGGGGGGTGTGTGTCGGGGGGGGATTAATTACACCTTGATTACCATAACTCGGTTCCTGTTGTGGACAGGGTTGAAGGCAAGCGCCTGCTGCTGGCCTGTGTGAGGCAGAGGGGCTGGGGGGGGGCAGCGGCTGGCACGCCCCTGGGCGTCTCTCTGCTCCCCCCTGCCCTTTGGAAGCCAGGGACGTTTCTGGAGGTTTGGGGGTTGCCCCAGCCCTGGGAGTACCCCCCGGGGGATTGCTGGCGGTCCGCAGGGCGTTTGAGGGCCGGGATGGGGGCG